ATTATTAACTGTAATTACCATGCTTTACGTTACATCCTCAAAACTTATTTTATATCTGGAATTTTGTACCTTTTGATCACCTTCACCTGTTTCACCTACCCTCCACCCGCTTCCTCTAGAAACCACCAGTCTATTCTCTGTATCTGTGAGTTCAGTGTTTTGGGTTTGTTTTTTTTAAGATTCCAAATATAGGTGAGATCATATAGTATTGGTCTTTCTCTGTCTGACTTATTTCACTTAGCCTAATTTCCTCAAGGTCCATCCATGTTGTCACAAATGGCCAGATTTCCATCTTTTTATGGCTGAATAATATGCCATTGTGTGTGTGTGTATGTGTATATATATATACCACATCTTCTTTATCCATTCATCCACCAATGAACACTTAGGTTGCTTCCATGTCTTAGCTATTGTAAATTATGCTGCAGTGAACACATAGGTGCATATATCTTTTCCAGTTAGTGTTTTCATTTCCTTCAGATGTGTACCCAGAAGTGGAATCACTGGATCATATGGTAGTTCTATTTTTAATTTTTTGAGGACCTTCCTTACCGTTTTCCATAGTGGCTGACCAATTTACATTCCCACCAACAGTGCACAAGCGTTCCCTTTTCTCCACATCCTCGCCAACACTCTGTTTCTTTTCAGAGAAACTTTACTTTAAATATTTTTCTTACTATGACTTTTCAGGATCCCAACCATTGTCTAAATTGTGAAACCAATTATTTTCCTCTTTTTAAATCCAATATCCTAGCCCTATAATGAAGTAATATTTTTCTTTTTCTTTCTTTTTTTTTTTTTTTGTGAGGAAGATCATCCCTGAGCTAACATCCATGCTAATCCTCCTCTTTTTGCTGAGGAAGACCAGCCCTGAGCTAACATCTATTGCCAATCCGCCTCCTTTTTTTTTCCCTTTTTCTCCCCAAAGCCCCAGTAGATAGTTGTATGTCATAGTTGCACATCCTTCTAGTTGCTGTCTGTAGGATGCCGCCTCAGCATGGCCGAACAAGCGGTGCGTCAGTGCGCACCCGGATCCAAACCGGGCCGCCAGTAGTGGAGCACGCGCACTTAACCGCTAAGCCACAGGGCCGGCCCCAGTAATGTTTTTCAGATTAGGAACCATGGCACAAAGTAGCAGAATCAGTTTTAATTTATAAATGCCAATGCCACTGAATCCTTCACGCTGCATGGTCTTCAGGGGCAGCTGCAAGAGTTCTGACTTACACTTCCAGGGGTAACTTAAATGGGTCAGAATAGGCAGCAGGAGCCAGACGTTTAGGATCGGTATGTGTATGTATTTATTTGTATGTGTCTATCTCAAAAGCGTATGTGACTCTGACACTAGATGGCTCACCCATCCAGCTATTTGCCATCACATATTTTAAATTTTATCTTGTTTGAAAGTGGCAACAGATGACAGATGGAACATTTTATTCGAACTTGAATTTCAATTAGATAACATGATTTTTAAAATGTATTAGGTTATAGTTCACATTCTCAAAGTTTCCTAATGCACTGAAGGTCTCAACAGAATTCATGATCTTAATTTAAAACCCAAATTAAGTTTCTGCTACCAGTTTTTATTCCTTTGTTCATACACTTAGTATTTCCTTTGTAAAGCAACTTTAAACAGCCTTTTAAATACTATTCAATCCTACATTTAGTTCAGGTAATGCAAATTTTACAGTAAAAGATGAATCGTTAACTATTGTTTGCTTCTTAACACAAATGAAAAAGTACATGATTCTTATTTTAAAATTTTAAAAAGAATGCTCCATTTATGCTGAAGGGCAACTTTCCCCTATGCTTAGCTTTGACGAGTTTAATAAATGAAGCAATAATGCTATACTAGTCTCCTTAATTTACTTAACCATGAAATATAATTGGCTTGTTTCTCATACTTGTCAAGATGTATCAATCTTTGTTTTGTTAACTTATACCATGATCATTGTTAAAACTCACCAATCACCAATGAAAGAACCCTTGTTATATATATCTGCCTACTTGATTTAAACTGAACACTTATATTTTCCATCATATAATTATACATTTTTGCTTATATTTAGTATTATCTAAAAATTATGGATAACCAGTCACTGAGATTTAAGTTCAGCATTAACTTTTCAATGATACTGAAGAAATTATCATAACACTCCAACAGAAAAATTTTAAAAGATACACATATACACACTCATGCACATGCACAGAGTAATTTCCTGCCTAATTGGTTATAAAGGCATATAAGAAAGTCCTTGAATAAACAAGGCTTATTCTTCTAGGAATAAAATGTAATTGTGTACCTTGTATAAAGTGCAATCCATTGTACTTACTGATACACTCACAGGCAAGTCTGTATATTGATTGGTTCCTTCTTTTAAATTCTTCATCCACCTCATTTTCTTCTTTAGTACTCATAGAAAGAATGATGACACTGATGACTATTTTATTTTCTTTTTTATGTTCTTTTCTCCTTGTTTTTAGAAATACTTAGTAATTAAAATCAAGTATTATATGTTAAAGTCTATTGACTTATACAAGCTATGTTAAGAAATTATTTCCAATGTCTTTCTACCAACAGGTTGGTGATAGTATTGTGCACAAAGCCAGAGAGACCTTGGAGCGAGCTATTAAACTGGTGAATGATACCAAGAAATGGGGTGCTAGGGTTGTATATGGTGATACTGACAGGTAATGAACTTTCTGTTTTGTAGTTGTCTTTTTGCATCTTTTCGGGTATTCATTTCAGTGTTTGAAATGGTTTGAGGGTAATCCTTCCTGAAAACAGAGTTCTACTTTCCAGTCCTTATGATCTCATGATCAGAGTTAGCAGAGGTCCTGATTTACCAGATGTGATCTTAAGAGACAGAAAATGTAAGTGTCCTGAGCCACAAACTCTGAAGATTCCCACGGCATCCCTCCAGGTAGCCAAGTAGATAGTCATCTGTAAAAAACTGTACACACAGGAGTCTAGTCTGTTTAATGTGAATAATTCTTCGTATAGCTGCAGCTCTCTGAATTTAAACATATATCTTAAAATAACCAAACGTTTTGAAAGACAGTTGCCAAAGCTGTGAGTGGTTGAGTTTTCACTAGGCCCCGAAATCTGTTGACTTTCTACAAGAAGTTTGATAGGCAAATAGAGTTTTCCATTTGATTCCAGAGGGCTCATAGACTTCCTGAAGCCCATCATCCATGGACTGACAAAGGATGGGACTGCCTTTGAATCCTGAATAACCACAGCCTGCTTGCTTGCTTTGATAATTTTCAGGGCCTAGTTATTTGTGTAACATCTTATTTGTATGACTCATTAAAATTCTTCTAGAATATAGGTATGAAAATTTCGTGGAGTCTGAAATTTTTTTCATATTGAAAGCTGAGAGTCACAGTGTGATCATGCTAAGAGCACCTCCCTCAGGAGCTCTGATTACCTTACAGTCCAACGAAGCAATAGGAGATGATGCTTCTAATTATTAAAAATAGCTTCTAAATAATCTTTAATCTTCTTCAGTTCTTTAAGCCACATACAATCAGCATAATCATATTAATGCTGAATGCAGCCTTGCCTTATATAGCAGCTGTTTCATTACCAACAGGTGGGGATAGTTTCAAGTTATCCAGCCCTCAATTATCCATAGTCCCTACTGTTCCCCATCAAAGCCATGCCTCAGTTTGACTTTGGGTATTTGACTGCTCTGTAAAACCACTTCTGCTGAGTAGTCTAGCAAAATAAAAGTTACTAGAACATAGTTTTGCACCTTGTTAGCAGAGCTCCTTGCAAAATATGTAGGGAAGAGGAAAAAATTAAACATTTAAATTGTTGAGTTTAATTTGGGGTCATACATGTCAGTGGTTGACAACACACACACAGAATCAGAAGTTGGCATGATTCTGGTTGTAGTTATGTTTAGCCTTTCAGATCTTTAGGAATTCAAACAAACCAAAAAACACAGACTCACAGAATGTCAGAGCTAGAAGAAGACTTTGGTATCATTTAGGTCAGCATTTTTCATGCTGTTGGGAGGAACCCTAGGAGGCACATTCTCAGGTGCTGCTTAAAAGCAAATTCCCTCAGGATAAGAAACTTATCTAAGATCACCCAACTAGTCAACAATGGAGCTATAAATCGGTACACAGTGGTTTTTGATTCCTAGCTGGTGCTTTCTCTCTACGTCAGACTTCCTAGGTATTTTATGATTCCAATCAAGGAAATTTATTTGCAGTATCATTAGAATTTTTGATCACCATTCATTATTTGATTCATTCAACAAATGTTTATGGAACTATACTATATGAGGGCAATTCAGTTGGAAGCATGTATTCTCAATTGTAACAATATTGCCCCACCAGGGTACAAATTAGTCCTTGGGGAGCAAAAACGTTTAGATATTACAGTGGGTTTTGGCCCCAGAAAGCTCAACCCTACCCAACAACATTTTATTCCTTGATAATTACTTTATCTTGTTAAATCTGCTTTTAACTTTTTTTCCTTTGGAAGGACAATAGTGATAAAAGATTAAGAAACACTGCTCTTAGGGATAATAGATAATACTTGGTAGAGTGAAAAATTTTTCTTAACTGAAAGTGAGGTCTGAATTCTCTTTCTGGCTGTCCTCCTAGCTGATTGCATGGCCATTAAAAAGGCACTTAGCCTCTCTGAGCCTCTCTGAGCCTCTCTGAGGCTAAGTTGCATCATCATCAGAATGAAGGAAATCTGATAGCGGGTGGTGAATGACTATTGCCTCCCTTCAATTTCAAGACTGCTGATTTTATGAATCTTGGGATCTAGCTAAGGGAGATTGGTTACCAAAGCATCAAAATTACTCTGTTAGAAGGGTGTTTCTCTTTCTAAAGCGGTTATGCATTATTGTCCATTTAGAAATTATAATAAAAAAACACACTGTATTTATTTATATTATAGTGGTTCAAACAATTATTTTATATAGTAGTGGTTCTCAATAATATTTATGACCTACTAGTAATATGACCTACTCCCATCAGTTATTGAAGCTCTCTACAATAGTGATTCTCAGGCAGGGTAGGGAAGGGCATTTGAAAAGACACACACTTCCAGGGCAGCAGAAGGGCAGTGGGGAGCTAGAATAAGAATTTCTTGGGAAATTCATCTGAGTGTAACTGAGAAGAGCCATGTGATTTTCATGGCTCAAAATGTGTGCTTGGATCTCTCAACCTAAAGATAAATGTTTAACTAGATTAAAAGCATTAATGCCAGGCAAATAGAAACTTATTTTAAAACAATCTTTCTCTTTGTAGGCTAGTCACTTGCATTCTAAGTGACCCAAAACTTCCGTTAATCCTGACTAGCTCTCTTGAAGCTTAGCTCCAAATAAAACTGGACAAAACAGCGTAGATGGACTCAAACCCACTAACACTACTGGGTAAATTCTCAGATGTATACCCTATAATAATAACTTTTAAGATGTAAAGTATGTATACCTTTAATTTTTATCAACTTTATTGAGGTTTAATTTTTAACAAAAAAGTGCACAGTCTGTAGTTCAGTATACAAATGCATAGACCCATGTAACCAGCTACCACCCTAGTCAAGACACAGAACATTTTTATCACCATAGAAAGTTCTCTCATGCCCCTTTGCTGTCAATTCCTCACTTTCATCCCCTACCCCCAGGCAGCCACTTAACTGATTTCTATTACTACAGCTTAGTTTTGCCTGTTCTAGAACTTGATAGAAATGTGTATACATTGTAAGCATATTACATTGTAAGCATATCAACAAAGTTATACACTTTAATTTCAAAATTTTTTCATTCATCATTGCATCTGAACATTTTAAGCATAGTAATCTTTAAAAAAAAAACGTTGGCAGTTACATCTCAAGTTAAACATACCCTTAGCATGTGACTCAATAATTTCACTCCTTGACATTTACCTAAGAGAAATGAAAACTTAGGTCCACACAAAGACTTAATGCAAGTCTTCAGTGCAGCTTTATTCATTAATAGTCCAGGGCTGCAAAGAATCCAAATGTCCATCAGTAGGTGATGGATAAACAAATATGGCATATCCATGTAATACTATTCAGCAATAAAAAGGAACCAGTTACTGTTACTTAAGCAACATGGATGGATCTCAAAAATACGGTGAGTGAAAGAAGCCAGACATAAGAGAGTACATACTATATAGTTCCATTTATATAAAATTCTTGAAAAAACAAAACTAACATATAGTAACTGAAAGCAGGTCACATGTTGCCTAGGGCTGGGAGTAGAGTGGAAAATTATTGTGAAGGAGTACAAGGGAACTCTGGGGGCTGATGAAAATGTCCTGTGTCTTGATTCTGGTGGTAGTTACAGAAGCGTGTTAGTTTTCTAGGGCTGTCACAGATTTGATGGCTTAAACAACAAAAATTTATTTTCTCACAGTTCTGGAGGCTTGAAGTCCAAGATCAAGGTGTGTCAGCAGGTGTGGTTTCTCCAGAACCCTCTCTCCTTGGCTTGCAGGTGGCCACCCTGCTGTGTCCTCACATGATCTTTCCTCTGTTTGGGTGCATCCCTGGTGTTTCTTTGCATATCCAAATTACCTCTTCTTATAAGGACACCAGTCAGATTAGGCTTACCCTAACCACCTAAATTAGGGCCTCATTTAACTTAGTCCCCTCTTTAAAGGCCTTATCTCCAAATACAGTCACATCCTGAGGTACCAGGGGTTAGGGCTTCAATATATGAATTTTAGGGGGACCCAGTTCAGCCGCTAACAAGTCTATACATTTGTCAGCATTCATGGACTACACTTAAAATGTATTCATTTTTACTATATGCATATTATATCTCAACAAAGTTGATTTTAAAAACAATCTTTCAAAAGGAAATTTTATAATAATCTATTCAAAAAATAAGGCTACATTAGTATAATGAGCATCAGATGGGCCTAAAAAGAAACTATTATAAAAAGCTTCAGGGGGTTCAGAGTATAGCTTAGCTTAAAGGTATAATTAACTATCTAAGGCCTGTTTGTTCCGCCTTAGTGAATGTTAAAATTCAGACTGAGACCATTTTCATTTTAAAGACCTTAAGTAATACTGAATAAATACTCCTTTTCTTAAGCCTTTGATATCAGACTCTAAGACAAGTACTGTATACAATATTGGCAGAGAACGAGCTTTTCCAAAGAAACCATCCAAATGAGATTTAAAGTCCAATATAAAAACAATTAAGAAATATGAGATTGGTTTATGTGGCTCCAAGACTAGAAACAAGAATCCTAAAGTCATGGTTCAAGATATTGTACATATCCAATATTTTATATCTTTCCACTAAAACTATAAGTGAAGATCAACTTTATAATCTCTCTTAAATATATTTATTAGCCATTATTTCTATCAGTCTCAGATTGTGGTATATACTGAAAAATGCTACTATAAAGTTAACCAGATTATATTAGGAAAAAAATGCCCAATACTTTTGTTTTACCAGTTATTTTTGAGTATTTTTTGTATTGGAATTTTTAACCATATTAGAAAGCCTTCCTTCTTGACTAGCGTATATTGCTGGTGGGATTGTACATCGGAAATAGCTTTCTGGAATTCAGTTTGACAGTATCTTTCAAGAAGTATTTTTAGTGTATATCATTTATCCAAAAATTTCACTTCTAGGAATTTATTCTAAGGACACAATCACAGATGTGCCAAATTACTATTATATATTGAAATATTAGCAAAAAATTCAAATAACCTAAGTTTTCAATGATAGGGGTTTGTTTAATTTCTAATATATCATAAATTAAAATACAGTACAACTGTTAAAATAATGTAAAAGAACTAAGTGACATGGGAAAATGTTCACAGTATACCATTAAATGAAAGGAGAAACTTACCAAACAGCGTGATCTGTTATCCCAAATGAGAAAAACTTTAAAGATATACACAAAAAGTTTGTAGCATCTTTTTTCTCAATGGTAAGATCATAGATGGCTGTTTTCTTCTTTGTGCCTTTTTGTGTTTTCCAACTCTTCTTCAGTAAACATGTGACAAAATATATGTGTGCCTTTTTTAAGTTGGGTCATTCTAGAAGGAAATTTCCTCCCATATCACAAGTAAATTTTCCAATTCTTGATGATTACACTTTCTCTTATTTTATGATTGACGTAATTGTGTGTTATACGAAGCTATAAATGTCTAGGAATGACCCAGGACCTTCCTGGCAACTGTGATAGCTGAGCTGGTCTGTGTGTAGCTAAGCTAGAAATATTAGCTGTCTTAAAGATCTGTAACAAGATATACCATGAGTACACAAGGATAGTGTGATAAAACAAGAAAGCTTAGGTAGGAAGCAACTTAATAAGGAAGAATAAGGAGAAAAAAAGGTGTTCTTTGGTACTAGAGTATTAGCCAGGAAAGTTACTCTTGACGAAATTTTTATTACAATGACTTCCTCATTACCCTACTCTATTTTTAATCCTCTTAGTATGTTTGTGCTACTGAAAGGAGCCACTAAGGAGCAGTCTTTCAAGATTGGTCAGGAAATTGCTGAAGCTGTAACTGCTACCAATCCTAAACCAGTGAAATTGAAGTTTGAAAAGGTAAGAGAAATGTAATACTAATAATCACATCTAAAATCCACATACTTCTAGAGATTTCTGACTTGCTCAATACATTTTCAGAATCAGTAACAATGTATGGGTCTATAAAAGTGTTAAATTTAAAATATTTTCCCTTAATTTTATATAATTTTCTCAAATTTTTTTAGTAATGTCTTTATATAAGTGAAAAGATTGTTCCAGTTAACTATTGCTGTGTAACACACCACCCCAAACTTAATGGTGTAAAACAACCACCATTTTATTATGCTTTCAGATTTTATGGGTCAGGAATTCAGAAAGGGTGCAGCAGGATGGCATGTCTCTGCTCCACAATGTCTAGGTCCTCAGCTGGGAAAACTTGAAGGCCAGAGGTGACCCAACTGACAGCTAAGGGCTGAAATCACCTGAAGCTTGCTCACTCTCATGTTTGGGGGTTGATGCTGGCTGCTGTTTGGGACATGAGCTGGGCTGTCAGCTGGAACACCTACACATGGCTTTTCCCTGGGGTTACTTGTTCTTCCTTACAGCCTGATGGCTGAGTTCTAGGAATGAACATCCCCAAGAGAAACAGACAAAAGCTGTTCTGCTTTTTTTTTTCTTTTTAATTCTTTTATTTATTTTTATGTGTGTGTGTGAGGAAGATCAGCCCTGAGCTCACATCCAGGCCAATCCTCCTCTTTTTTTGCTGAGGAAGGCTGGCCCTGAGCTAACATCCGTGCCCATCTTCCTCCACTTCACGTGGGACGCCGCCACAGCATGGCCTGACAAGCGGTGTGTCGGTGCGCGCCCGAGATCCCAAGCCGGGCCGCCAGCAGTGGAGTGCCTGCACTTAACAGCTACGCCTCGGGGCCGGCCCCTGTTCTGCTTTTTATGATCTAGTCTCAGTCACAAAGCATCATAGACCATCTAGATGGCAATACAGATACACAGAGGGAACACAGACCACCCCATCTCTTAATGGGAATAATGTCAGAGTCACAGTGTAAGAAGACCATGTGGGATGGGAGATATTAGTTCTTTGGAAAATACAGTCTGCCACAAGGACATTTGACTATTTTCATTTTACTTTAAATATCAAATATGAACTTAGTTCTTTCTGTATAAAAGATACTGAGCTAGAAGAGGTATGGAATGCAAAGAAGCATAAGACACAGTCCAGCCCCCTAAGAGCCAGTAATCTAAACAGAAAGATTAAAAATGTATATAAATGATCTCTTTTATTGTAAACTTAGAAAAGTATCTTGAGAGCAGTCTCCCTAACCACTGTAAGAGCACAAAGAAACGGAGGTATTGTGTCCTCCTGGGCTGGATGGGGAGACTCCATGTGTAGGAGGTAATATTGCACTGTGTCTTGGAAAATGGTTAGAATTTCAATACGCACCCTGGGGCTGCAATTCTGCATGGAAGAAAATGGCATGCAGAAGGATATGGAGTTGGAAAAGTACAATATGGGAATACAGAGTAGCAGGAGAGAAATCTGAAAAAATAAAGTTAAGACCAGATGGTAGAGAGTCTTGAATGCCAAGCTAAAGTGTTTAAACTTTATTCAGGGAAGTTTATCAAACCAGAGCTTGACATAGTCAGAGCTGTTTGGGGAGTGGTGTATGGGATGGATTGGGAAGAGAAGAATCTCAAGACAGGATGCCTCTTGCAACCTGTATAGCCTTGAACTAGTGAGATGAACTAGTGAAAATAAAGGACAATTCAAGAGATATTGAGAAACAAGTATGAGCAGGAGTTAGAAGTGGTTGATTTAGGAGAGCAGGTGTGAAGAGGAAAAAAAGGGAGAAAAGAATCAAGGATGACTCCCAAGTGTTTATCATGTACCTACTTTGAGGTGAGAATTGTGCTAGAAGAGATTCAAAGAGGACTTAGATATGGTATCTGCCCTAAAGAGCATTCTAATTGGGGGAGAGAGAGAGGAGATAAATTAGAAAACAGAGTGATAATGAGTGCTATTCTAGAAGTATTTGTATGGTACTGTGGACACTCAACCCATCTAGCAAAGTGAGGAGCATGATATGTTTAGAAAAATAGGACACCAGACATGAAAATTTACCTGAAGTAGATCACAGACCTAAACATAAAAGCAAAAACTGCAAAACTTCTCAAAGAAAACAAACATTTGTTAAGAATTGTGATGCATATGTTCATGATGAATATTGGTCTGTAGTTTTTTTTCCTTATATTGTGTTTGTCTGGTTTTGGGAGAAAAAACAGCTTGCCTCGTAAAATGAGTTGGAAGTGTTCCCTCTTCTATTTTCTGAAAGAAAAAGTGTGTAAAATTGGTACAGTTATTTCTTTCTTAAATGCTTGATAGAATTCACCGTGAAGCCATCTGGTCCTGAAATTTTCTTTGGGATGAGGGGGAGATTTTTAGTTACAAATTAAACATCTTTAATATATATTGAATTATTCAGGTTTTCTTCTCATGTCAGTTTAGATAACCTGTGTTGGCAACGAATTTGTCCATTTCTCCTAAGTTCTCACATTTATTAGCATGAATTATTTTTACTTCCTTATTATGATTTTGATATTTGTAAGGTCTTTAGTGACATCCCTCCTTTTACTTGTTTGTCGTCGTTGTTGTTTTGGTGAGGAAGATTAGCCCTGCGCTAACATCTGTTACCAATCCTCCTCTTTTTGCTGAGGAAGATTGGCCCTGGGCTAACATCCGTGCCCATCTTCCTCTACTTTATATGGGACGCCTGTCACAGCATGGCTTGACCAGCAGTGCGTCAGTCCGCGCCCGGGATCCGAACCTACAAACCCTGGGCCGCCACAGCGGAGCGCACGAACTTAACCACTGTGCCACCAGGCCAGCCCTTCCTTTCACTTTTGATAATGATAATTTATGGGTTTTTTTTATTTGATCATTCTAAGTAGAGGTTTATCTGTTTATTGAACTTTTTGAAGAACTATTTCATTAATTTCCGTTATTTATTTTTCCCTTCTTTATACTTACTTTGGGTTTAGTTTGCTTTTCTTGTCTTCTTAATTTAGAAGCTTGAATCATTAATTTTAAACAAATATTTTTAATATAAGCATTTAAACATATAAATTTCCCTCTCAACACTACTTTAGCTTCAAATTTTATCTTATGTTTTCATTATTATTCATTTGCTTCAATGATAATGACCGATAGCTTATTTAGAAGTGTGCTGTTTAAATTCCAAATATTTAAGGATATTCCAGAAATCTTTTTGTTATTATTTCTAATTTAATTCCATTGTGATCAAAGAACATACTCTGTATGATTTCAGCACTTTTAAGTTTACTGATATTTGTTGTTTGGTCCAGCAGATGGTCTATCTTAGTGAATGTTCCCATGTGACATTGAAAAGCCACGTGTATGCTGGTTGTTGGGTGGACTGTTCTATAAATGTCACTTAGGTTAAGTTAATTGATAGTGTTGTTGAAGCTTTCTATATTCTTACTGATTTTCTACGAATTTCTAAGAGAGAGGTGCTAAAGTCTCCAAGTATAATCATGGATTTACCTGTTTCTTCCTTTTAGTTATGCCAGTTTCTATTTCATACATTTTGAAGTTTTCTTATTAGGTGCATACAGATTTAGGATTGTGTATCTTCTTGATGAATTGATACTTTTATGTTTGATAATATTCTTTGTCTTGAAATCTGCTTCTTCTGATATTAATATATTGCCACTCAGCTTTGTTTTGATTAGTGTTAGCATATCTGTCTTTTTCCATTTTTTATTGTTAACCTTTCTGTGTCCTTATATTTAAAGTGGATTTCTAGTAGTTAGCATATAGTTGAGTCTTACTTTTTGATCAGATCCAATCTGATTATTTCTGCCTTTTAATTGGGATGTTTAGACCATTTACATTTAATGTGATATTGATAAAGCTTGAGGGCTGAGGAAAGGACCAACTTGGTAACATAAAAAAGGGTGGGGGCACACACCCATTGATCCAGGAAGTCCACTTCAAGGAGTTTATCCTATGGATTAATCCATGCAAGGCTGTTCACTGGAACGCTATTTGTAATTCCAAAAGACTGGAAACATCCTAAATGATCCATAGTAGATAACTGGTTATGTAAATTATGATACCCTCACTTAATGGATGACTATGTACCTACAAAACAAAATGATGGATGGAGTGCTCTCCAAGATAAATTATTGAATGAAATAAGCAAGTGCAGAATGATGTATATGGTAAGCTACCATTATGTGCATAAGGACATGTGTTTGCATGGGATATCTCTGGAAGGATACACAGGAAATCAATAACAGAGGATGCCTCTAGGGAGGGGAAAGTAGAGGCTGGAGAACCAGAACTTATCGTTGTATATTCTCTTATAACTTTTGGGTTTTTTTGTGTGAGGAAGATCAGCCCTGAGCTAACATCGGTGCTAATCCTCCTCTTTTTGCTGAGGAAGACAGGCTCTGAGCTAACATCTATTGCCAATCCTCCCCCTTTTTTTTTTCTTCCCCAAAGCCCCAGTAGATAGTTGTATGTCATAGTTGCACATCCTTCTAGTTGCTGTATGTGGGACGCGGCCTCAGCATGGCCGGAGAAGCGGTGCGTCAGTGCGCGCCTGGGATCCGAACCCGGGCCGCCAGTAGCGGAGCGCACGCACTTAACCGCTAAGCCATGGGGCCGGCCTCTCTTATAACTTCTTAATTCCCCCTACAAATTCATATTTGTATTCATACAAATATGTATGTATGTATTCATACAAATTCATATGTAGGTGTTACTTAAAGTAATTTTTTCATTGTTTAAAAAGATACGATTGGGCCCTATCTTTATAATTGACATTTGGTTAGGAAAGAAAAAGACATAAAAATAAGATATTCATTGTAGGGAAAAAATGGTTATTGAGAGGCATTTTGTTAATTTCATCATAGGTGTATTTGCCCTGTGTCTTGCAAACAAAAAAGAGGTATGTGGGTTACATGTATGAAACACTGGATCAAAAGGACCCAGTATTTGATGCAAAAGGAATAGAAACAGTCAGAAGAGATTCCTGCCCTGCTGTTTCTAAGGTAAGTTTTATCTATCTTGTTTTCATCTTTAAGAAATAAATGGCTAAAGAATCTGGTGAAAATCCTTAAGCACACATCTAGGTGGAGGAATTATCGCCTATATGACTATATATAACTATAAGAGGAACTATATGATTTTTGAGAATTTCGTTTCTAATGGAAACAACTTATTTGACTTTAGTCATTAGTTTCTGACTTCTTCCCATACCTTCCCTTCTATCACAATTGCTAAAAAACAATACATGAACTTGAAAGAATTTCCTGCCTAATCACCTGGAGATGATAATATATGTTGTATGACAACACCCAAAAGCTAGGGAGCAGGATAAAGAAGAAAACTAGCAACAGAGAAATTCTGTAAGTAATAGAATCCATCCTAGATTAACTGAAATTTCGTTTACATGGGTTATCAAATATAAGTTAGGCAGATTTCTGAACAATGGTACTATAAGTTACCTAAATTTCTCAACCATAGTAATTTTAACCATGGTATTTTATATTTATTTTTTCTTTACTCAGGCCCAAATTCCTTCTGTAACAAACCAAAAATAAGTGGTATAAATGGAATAGCACTCTACAAACTGAGTTTTTTTGAGACCATTAGACAATAGTCAGTCTATTATGTCAATATATACTGTTGTGTGAATTTGAGATATTATTTAATACTAGTTTCTGGAAGAGGTATCATCCAGTGCATTCTTTCTTTGAGGGCAGAATTGTACCTGGGCTAAATTAGCAAACTTCTTGTATAAATATGTATGGGTTCCAGTACTCAGAGTAAGATACGGAACTTTCACCTGGAACTAATTTAAGTTCAATGCACTACATAAATCTACTGCATGTCAGTCATTTCCTAGTAGAAATATTTCTAGCGCAGAAATTTCTGCCACAATTAGTATATATTTATTGACACCATAAAAAGGCAAAAACTGATTTTTATTTCACTGCTTAGTGATATTTAAATTTCTCTCTATCCACCTGAATCAGGTCCTTTCTATAATAGGGTAGATAAAAAACAGTACATGAAATCATGTCTGGTTTCTTGTGCCTAGAGTGCTTTTGGCCATTTAAAAAAACTTAAATGTTTTATGTTGCTCACCACGTAGCAAATATTTCATCTGCCTGTCATCTCGATATGATTTTCCTCAAACTACATGATATTCTATTTTTAGAAATAGCAAGCTATATAAAGTCTCAAGTATTTTCCAATTTCTAATAATTTTTATTATTCAATCATTGTAAATAGCAGGTTGTTTAGGTAGATCAGCAAGTTACCCAAGTAGGTTACATAATTGAAAGTATAACAATAATGAAATATACTAGATGATATTTTATTTTTATGAGCATATCTTTTCTTTTTTCTTTTTAAAGATACTTGAGCGTTCTCTAAAGCTGCTATTTGAAACAAGAGATATAAGTTTAATTAAACAGTATGTTCAGCGACAATGTATGAAGCTTCTGGAAGGAAAGGCCAGCATACAAGATTTTATCTTTGCCAAGGAATACAGAGGAAGTTTCTCTTATAAACCTGGATCTTGTGTGCCAGCCCTTGAACTTACAAGGTAATGATGCTGACTATAGCACAACTCTCAATACCTAGCAAGTGTAGTCCTGGGATTCTGAATAGTTTGAAGTAGATGGAAAGACACCTAGTCCACAGGCAAAGACACAGAGTTGTTTTTTTACCTGCCCACGTGAAGCCTCGCTAAAGGTAAATGGATGCTCCCCCACAGGAAGAAGGAACTCGTCTTCTGGGCTTCCCTTGGGAAACTAAATTCAGTGAAATTGTAATCTGGTACAGAGCTTGAATAGTTTGTTTTTCTCACATCAAAATCACTTCATAGGCCCCGTGGCTTGGTGGTTAAGTGCGCGTGCTCCAGTGCTGGCGACCCGGGTTCGGATCCCGGGCTCGCACCGACGCGCTGCTTCTCTGGCCATGCTGAGGCCGCGTCCCACATACAGCAACTAGAAGGATGTGCAGCTATGACACACAACTATCTACTGGGGCTTTGGGGGGAAAAAATAAATAAATAAAATCTTTAAAAAAAAAAAATCACTTCATAGTCCTTAATATTGATCTACCAAAGCACTTTGATGGTTGTTGTTGTTAGTGCCCTTAAGTCAATTCCAACTCGTAGTGACCCAGTGTTCAGCAGAACAGAACCTTGGCTGGTATTTTTGCATCATCCTCTCACCTTCCGATGCTATATCAGACAATGCTCCGCTGCTATTCACAGGGTTTTCATGGCCAATGTTTTCAAAGTGGCTGGCCAGGTCCTTCTTCCTAGTCTGTCTGAGTCTGGAAGCTCCACTGAAACCTGTCCACATGGGTGACCCTGCTGGTATTTGACATACTGGTGGCATAGCTTTCAGCATCACAGCAACACGAAGCCACCACAGTATGACAGCCGACAGATGGTGGTGTGGTTCTCTGACTGGGAAATGAACCGGGAGGTAGCAGTGAGAGTGCCAGATCTCAACCACTAGACCACCAGGGCTGGCTACTTAGATGGTATCATTCTGGAATCACATCATCTAATCAGCTAAATTTTCTCTGGTCTTTCATTGTTAGATTTATGACAGTTCTTACTCTTAGGGGATAGAAAACATTTTAAGCCAGCTGATATCTGCCAACTCGTATTGTTTTCCAGATAGCAACGATTCAAAGAGTAAGTTTTAAACTCTTACAGGATATCCACTTGGGGCCAACTAAGTGAAGTGTATATAGTTCTCAAAAAAAGTTATAACTCTAACTTGAAGGTACCCCTTGTAGATTTCTCATGTTTCATTATTGTTTAATTCTCGTGCAATTTTCTGGAAAGATGCCTTCCACGACAGTCTTTGAGTACATATTTTATTTGGATTTAAATAGGAAAATGCTTACTTATGACCGGCGCTCTGAGCCTCGAGTTGGGGAGCGAGTGCCATACGTCATCATTTATGGGGCCCCCGGAGTACCACTTATCCAGCTGGTAAGGCGCCCAGTGGAACTCCTGCAGGACCCGACTCTGAGACTGAATGCCACCTACTATATCACCAAGCAAATCCTTCCACCCCTGGCAAGAATCTTCTCACTTATTGGTATTGATGTCTTCAACTGGTATCATGAATTACCAAGGGTAAGCCTACTACTAAATAGTACCTGTGCTATGACTATAGAGAGAATTTACTTAAAATTTCCAGTAGAACTAAATATTTTATTTATGTGCTATGAAAGGCAAAGCAGATGTTCTGTTAAACTGGCAAAGGCGCCACACTCTGCCAGTTTCCTAAAAGAAACTGTTAAGTTTTCTATAAACACCTTCCCAGCTGCTGTCCGATTGGCCAAATTATAGAATACTAAAATAAATTCCACGACTATTACAGTGGTAAGCACTTAACTACAAAATAACTCAGAATAAACCAGCTAATAAAAAAATAAATGGAAAGCAAAAATTCCTTCAATATGGGTGTCTAAGAAATATATAAGATGTAGTATCTGGACATAGTCCTGAAGAAACCAGACTAAAGAAATAACGGTAAAATAGCATTATACTAAAGGAAAACGTGCAATGTGGAATCTTAGCAAAGGGAGTTTTGCTTGAACTCTTCTTTCTTAGTTTACTCATTAGAAGGCTGAAGGAACAATATGTGATTCTGTAATAATTGGGGCTACATTACCCTAGGAGAGTAGTCGTTTTTATCTGCTGTTTAGAATTAGATCTGCTCAGTCATTTGCTGTTATCTCAGACCATGAAAGGCTGATGGTATTCAGGCAAACTGATAAAAGTTTAAACTTAAATTATTTTTACTTCCTCAGTATGGCCTCAGGAAAAGAACCATCCAGGAAACTGAGGTGGCTGCTGTGCCCAGAGACTCTGTGCTGGCTGACATCTGTAGTGCTGCACCCTGGCTCTATGCCAGCTACTACTACTAGTTTTTATTTCATCATCAGCAAGAATGTTAAACCAATGGCATTTGTAAGAGGCTGACCTAATAACTTTTATGCAAAGTGATTTATAAGACACCATAAGACTATGCCAAGGGTATAATAATAATATGATAATGTTATTTCAATGTAAAAAGAGTCCCAGAGGACAGATCTCTGAAACCATTATTAGCTTCAAATAAAGGCGGCTTAGGTAACTTGTATCTGTATTACATTTGAAATGCTCCAGGTTTACTTTTGCTTGAATTTTGCACCCTACTGCCTAACAAGTTATTTTTAACCTTCCACTTGCCTTGTTTCCATGGCCCAAATTGTGCAGCCATAAACAGTATCCACTCTCAACCTGGATTTCTTCCACTGTCCTCTCTGCTCTCCGTTGCCCTGTGTGATCTCATACATCTACGTATCTCAACCAAAAAACTGAGCTGTAGGAGACTTTTTTTCCAAAAGAAAAAAATCAATATATCTGATGATATCGAGATGTAAGCTGTGTGAAAGGAAGGACTTTGTTCATTTCTGTAGCCCCATTGTCTAGAGCAGTGCCTGACATCTAGTAGCTACTCAATATTTGTTGAATGAATAATACCTTGGTAAACCCATAATTAGCATGAGAAGAGCAGCTCTGCTGTTAAGCTGGCTCAGACTTATTTCTGAATTGATGTTTTTATAGATCCAGAAAGTGACCAGCTTCTCTCGAAGTGAACCTGGAGGACGGAAAGGCACTATTTCACAATATTTCACTACCTTACACTGTCCTGTGTGTGATGACCTGACTCAGCACGGCATCTGTAGTAAATGTCGGAGCCAACCTCAGCATGTTGCAGTCATCCTCAACCAAGAGATTCGGGAGTTGGAACGTAAACAGGAGCAACTTGTAAAGGTACGACCTGTTCAGTAGACCCAGAATCCCAAGCAATCTAATTTTGGGGGGAAATGTAGTCAATTCTTGAGGTATAGTATGAGATATGAAACTGCTGTGAAAACTGTAGTAAGGATTCCAAGTTAATAAACTTCTTAAAAGCTCAAAAATATCATAATTGAACTAAACTATTAAAAATGGCTTAATTTGTTTTATAATTTATTTTTTGTTTTTATGGAATAGTGTATTGTGTTTATTAAAACCTAGAACTACAACATCCATACACACAATTTCTTTTAACATAGTATTAAAAAGAGAGAAAGAAAAGTACCAGTTCCTCTATCTACTATATCTACTACCATTCCCATAAAAATATGGTTGTCCTACAGAATTGCTAGTAAACTTGGGAAGTTTCTCAATTCTAAGAGTCCAGATAGAAAATTAATAGTTATCATGATTAAATCTACTATACACCAGAGACTATTGTAGGCCCTCTTACAGAGGAGTAAACTGACACAGAGTGGTTGAGTAATTGTCCCCATGGTACACTGCTAATAAGCGGCCAAGCTAGATATAGACCTAAAATGCAGAGATGGTTTTTCAAACACAGGAATTCTAGCAGAAATAAACAGAAATCTCTTGAAATAAGTTGGAAAATGAAATCTAAAGAAAAATTATCATAGCACATTTTTTTAAATGTATATTTCTTAAAGGAATGGTTATATCTTATATATCTCATATCTATATAATATACCATCATATTCAAGTTATATTTTTAACTTCAGGCTAGACAAGAACAATTTTGGGGTGGAGTTTGTTGTTTTGTCTTCTTTTATAAGAGCAATATATAAAGTTATTGAAATGTTTTAAAACCAACCAAATAATTGAGAGGCAGTGTGATTTTGTAGAAAATGAAACATGCTGATAATAAGGAAATCAGAATTCTAGTCTGGACTTCATAACATTGGCCATGTCCCTTGGCCTCGGTGTTATCAGAATGCAAAGGTCCCATCAGCTATAATGTTGTAAATTCTCTTACACAATCATTCCTAGCAGCTCATTGCTCAGAGGCCTCATGTAACCCAACCAGCAGTATGTAAAGGCCAGGCTCTGCACCTTGTCCTCAAGGTGAAGAAGCTTTTGAATCAAGACAGATTATCAATCCACAGTCTCTTAGTAGGAAAACTTAACTGCCACGCGGGTGACCAGAGAGAGAAACCATCTCTTAGGACACTAGGCTCTTAAGAATTTGAATGATTATAGAAAGATGATTAAGGATTGGTAAAGTATAGACTATTTCCTCTGTACCATTCTAGCTGCTCAATTTGTCCTGGCAGAAAATTCTTAAGTTTTAGAGAGTATAGCCAGTCATCTAGAAACAGATCTCATTAAGGATGAGATTAAATAGATCTCATTAAGGATGGTGGGATCTAAAAGGTATGATGATTTTGATGCAACCACAGAAGCCTAGCTTGTTGAAATAAGTTGACTTTTCCGTCTCCCCTTCCATCTCCTAAATAATTCTTAACTACCCTCACCTTTCTCCTTCCCTCTGTCACCATCCTAGTCCAAACCACCATTCTCTCTCCCCTAAACTCCTGCAACCCTGTCCTACCCTGACCCCCTCCCATCCTATCCATTCTCAATATTGTAGCTAGAACCATCTTTTAAAAGTACAAATCTGGTGTTCTCTCTCTCTCTCATAAAATTCAAACTCCTTAGCATATTTTATAAGTCTTTCTCCATTCTGGCCCCTACCTGCTACCTTTCTGTCACCATTTCTTGCCCTTTTGCCTGTCACACTCTATCCTCCACCCATGAACTTCTTTTAGGGCCATGAATACACCTTAGTCTGTTCCACATCCTGGCCTTTCAACATGCTGTTCCCTGTGCCTGGAACGCTTTCCTCTACCCCCACTAATCATCATCTGAGAGGAATTAGCTTAAACTCCCAACCCAGGTGAAGCCTTCCCTGCAGTGGGCTCCTGCCATAACCTCTGCTTTACTGTGATTATGTGTCTCTCTTCCCCACTAGACAGCAA